ATTCACGCACTCTCGTCTTACCCGTTGGAGAGCCGCCGATGTGTGAAAACGGAAAGAGCCGTGATCGTGAGGGAAGCAGATTGGAGACCCTGTGCATCTTGTTCCTATCTGCATCCACAACAATCTGACCAGACCTGAAAATGATGACACGTGAAGTGTCATGAGCGCTTGCGCTCTCAAAGCTCGGTGGTGCGCTCACGAAATCTAACCTTGCCCTCGACGAACATCTTCACATCAACACACACATGCACAACTCGTGTACGATCGCAACTCCACGCTCGCGCCTCCATTCACGCACACACAGTTAGCCACGTGCAGCTGCTGTGTCGAGGCAGACGAAACAGGAACATGGTCGTAAGCTCACCTCTGGCGCAGGATCTGGACGGTGATTGACGTCCACCCCTGGATTGCCGTGTTCACGTGCAAAATTCGGATGAACGTGTGCTGAGCAGGTGTCCAGTCGTACACGGCAACGCCATTCAGCCCCACTGCCACGCTGGTTGTGCGAGTGTTTGTGTGTGAGTGTGAGTGTGTGTGTGAGTGAGTGTGTGAGTGAGTAAGAGAGCGATAAACGCGCAAGCACCAGACACGCACACACACACACACACACACACAGCACACTCACACACACACACACACAGGAAGACAAGCGGAGACAGCGGTGAGTTGGCAGCAAAATTCTCATGCAGTGCAGGTGCAATGAGGCCTGTATCGTGTGGCCTTCAGCTGTCTAGCAGTGTGCAGGTTCTATTCTGCGCCTTCGCGTGTGACTCACAGGACAAACGTTCCCTCTGGATTCTGTTGGAGGTCGCTCTGTGACGGATGGAGGAGAATGGGCTCGTTGGCCAAATCAGTTGTGGTGCCACTCTCAGGTGCATTCATCTCAATGGCGGGTTTGGCAAAGAATTGGACCTGCGTGACTGCAGTTGTGTTGCAAACAGGTGACAATGAGACACCTGTGAGCACCCAGGGGGACACACTCGCGCCCGCAAACCATACATACACACAAGTGCAGTCGTGCAACAGCAAGCGCAGAAATGCACACACACAAATTCACATGCACATGCACATGCACATGCACATAAGTACACACGCAAACACAGGGGCAAACACATGGTTTCGCTGCGCTACGTACAGAGTTCTGCACTGTTTGTGAGGGGTGGCATGACCTCAGTGCTGTTTGTAAGGGGTGGCAAGATGTCGATCCAATTCCAGCCATCGAACCCCAAAGCTTGCCCAACCACGCCGTTGCTGTCAAAGTTGTACTCTGTCATGCGATTGGTGGTGACAACCCGCCCATCTTGACCCAAGTCCTGCATTTAGGATGCAGGCAAGGAGAAGATGGTTGGAAGTGATCGTGACGTGGAACACGTGAAGAAGGCACAGTCATCGCTTTGATCCGACCAAGAAACTTCTTCTCCCTCTCAGCCCTTGCAACATCCAATATGTGTGCCTCTGCATGTCACACTCGTCGTGTTCGCTCGAGCTCTCACAATCAGGTTGAAAGAGTCGATGGCGCTATCGGCTTTTGTCTCATCCGAGAACTGCAGCCAGAGCACGTCCCGTGAAGTGCGAGTTGCTGTTGTGTGTGTTTGTGCGTGTCATTGTGTGTGTTTGTGCGTGTCATTGTGTGTGTGTGTGTTCAGTGTGATGGAGGACCCAGAGACGATGTTAAGCAGGTGAAGACACGCGGGCGAACAGACATAGAACATCACAGCATAAAGTTGATGCCTGCCACTGTTTGAATTGGCGCACGTGCTCGGGGTACACGTTGTGTCGCTGTGAGAGATATGTAACTTGCACGACACGAGAATACAATGACACACCTGCATCCTCAATGATGTTTGGTGCAAAGCAGCGGCTGTTCTCCTCGTCGTACTCGCATTGCACTGGACGGACGAGCAAAACAGCAGGGAGGTTGCAAACGCGGGCATGAATGAGGTGGTGAACGTGAGAGAAAAAGAAAGAGGCAAGCACTGCAAGAAAGATCCGTGGATGTAGGGGAGGTGAGGTGGCGGTGCCGAATTTGCACACACCCACCCACACCCACCCACACACCCACCCACACCCACCCACACCCACCCACACACCCACACACACATACGCACGCACGCACGCATGCACACACACACATACGCACGCACGCATGCACACACACACACACACCTCCACCACCCTCCTCCTCCTTCAGAAACATGACGCAAGCGTGCATTCAAGACAGCCAGCCAGCACACCTTGTCAATACAAGCACACATGCATCTCATAAGTAAGCCGATTTGCCGATTGCACTCACGCACCGAATATGTCGCACGCCTCCCGATCAAGCTTGCTGAAGAGACACGTGACCTCATAGGACAGGCCCATGACTGCGTTCACGGAGTCAACACACCCGAGCCAGTCGGCCCCAATCCAAACACAGCCATCCTTCCCGTCGCACAGGACTTGCGTACGCAGGTCTTTGCAGTCGTCTGTCGTTGCACTGACGGGATACGTGTCTGACTGAAAGTCAAGGCAAGAGCTGTGGTCGCACTTGCTACCGCCCTCAGCACATGCCTTCACGCAGTCCGCATCCGTTCTAAATATGGCAACATCGCGGGTAAACTCGGTGTCAAGATGGGGTATGTCTGGCGGCTGGTGACACTCGCCCTCGCTGACAGGGAGGTTCTGTTGGTGCCGTGGGAAACAAGCATTGCGGCGATGCCAGCGTGAGATGTGGTGCAGTTGTGTCAGGGAATGAACAAGTACGACACGTAGGCTGACATGTTGCACCGCCTTCCATTAGGAACAGTAGGATGTCCACGAAAATCACAAAGAAAGACAGTTCATATCGACGAGTGCACCCCCTTCACAGTCGCACATGCATTCTCACAAATGCACACACACACACAATCGCACACGCACACACAATCGCACACGCACACACGTCCCCCCCCCCATCCTCACCACGTATTCCACCCATTCGCCGTCTCACCAAGTAGTCGGAGTCCCTGTAGAGAGTGATGCCACAGCCAGCCTGTGCGGAGAAGTAACCGACAGAGAACTCAGTGGCGCTGTTCACGTCTGCAAGGGCAGTCACGTTGGGTGCGATGCGCAGCTGGTATGGGCTCAGGTTGAAGCAGGATGGCATTGACAGCGTGCGGCATCGCGTTGTGTCGGCGTCAAACTCGCAGTTGCTGCGAGCGGGGAAATCACACAGCACAACGCGGTCGATTGCTGTTGTTTGTGTGCGCGTGCGAACATACAAGCCGGGTCGAAGCGCCATGGGAGAAGGGCACTGGTGAGTTGCCGAGCAAAATGACGCAGCAGTTTGCCCTGTTCTCCTTTTGGCGCCCATCTGTGCTCCGAACACAACAACGAACACGCACGTTCGTGCACAACAAAGCGCACTGTATACGACAGACACAATCGTGCGCAACAACGGGTACATGTTCGACGTCCAGAGACAGTGCGTACGCTCCACGTTTGCACAAACATCATCGACATGGGCATTTGTACACTCGGGTTTGACTGGCACACCTGTGACGCTGCATGAGGTGCTGGAGTAATTGTGACCGCCGCGCTCGATACACAGCCCAGGGTCAGCCGTGCAGAAGCCATCACCACACATGTGCCATCCTAGAGGGCCTGAGCCGGTGTATGCGTGTGCATGTGTGCAGCATGGTGCGGTGTTCACCGAGTGTGTCAGGTATGAAATACGAGCACGCACGAATACTGAAGGCACACATACACACGCACACACACACACTCACGCACATTCACGCACATTCACGTACATTCATGCACGCACGCACGCACACACACACACACACGCACACACACGCACACACACACACACACGCACACACACATCTAGTCTTTCGTTTGACGTACAATACTTTCGATTGCTGAACTTGGATCCTGCGGTGCCGTTCTCGCATGCAGACCAGTCGTTGAGCTCGCCACAGCCATCTCTGTCCTTACACGCAAGACCAGTCACGCACGTGGTCGGGTTGCACTCGGCCTCGCAGTCAATGCATGTGCTGTTGCGCATAGTCAGCGTGAACTGCCCAGGTGACCCAAAGAACTGAGCCACAATCGTTCCCGCGTAGTCCACGCATGTGTCGAGGGTGAGGAGCGGCCCAGCCTCCATGCCCGGGCCCGAACAATCCATGGTGCCGTACACGAACAGCCTGAAATCGTCGTTCTCCTCTTTGGTTAGCTTGAAGGAAGCGGAATCCCCGGCAATGCGGCACTCGGAGCCATTGTTGAAGGACACACAGCCTTGGTAAACGCAACCAGCCGCGCTTGTGTCGTAGCAGGCGTAGTACAGGCCATCCAGTTCACCGAGGGAGGGGCAGCTCCAGGCACACACAAGAACCGCGACCAGCAGCGCCGCATCGCGTCGCCGCCACGCCATTGTCCATGTGCTCATGCCACCTCCATCCGAGAAGAGAAGACGGGCCAAGGGGGATGCTTGCTGGCTTGGTCTGGGCGTGTCCACGAGCGAAACAGGAAATGTCAACAACACCGCAATGAAACGCGTGCAAGGACAAGGGAGAGGGCACCGTGGATCACAGTCTAAAACGCGACGCACGCAGCGGGCTGCCAAGGCGTCCCTGAGTGGAAGAAGAGATTCCTCTGCTCACAGTAAGACAGTACGCGTAGCGTGGGAGATCACACTCACGCCTGTGTGTGTGTGCGTGTATGTGTGTGTATATGTGTGTGTGTGTGTTGCTTTGTGTGCAATAATAACAGCAATGGGGTGTGATTGTGAAAACAGAAGGAAGGAAGACAAGCACAGCGGCGCTCCTCACAGCGCGAAACCGCGGGAACGATTTACCCGCAAGGGGGTTGTGGGTTGAGGTTTTGTGTTCACAAAAATGCGCAGTTTGCATCAAATGACACTGTCAGCAATTTCATTTCTGTGTGTCGTTTGCACATTCTTTCGTTTTACTTGGGCGTTGCGAGGCGCATGACACAGGGTCATACAGGCAAAGCAGGTCTTCGAGATGTCACACGTCACAGTCACAGCTGTGGTGGACACGCACGACATGTCACGTCAATGGCGATGTTATTCCTACTTCTTTGCAACCACGCCAACCTGTGCTGGGCGGATGGTGCGGCCGTTGAGCGAGTAGCCAGCCTTGGTCACCACAGCCACCGTGCCGCTCGTCGCATCATCGCTCGGAGGAACCTCAAACAGCGCATCATGCTGTGTGTGTGTGTGTGTGTGTGTGTGTGTTGGTGTGTGTGTGTTGGTGTGTGTGTGAAAAATGAATGCATGGGTGTGCGAGTTTCAACGAGTATGCGAACACAGGTGAGTGCGTGAGCCAAGGAGAACGGTTATAGTACAAGCGGGGCGACGTGGGGCAGGAGCAGCAAAAGGGCCAGTCACACAAGAGACGTCACAGCTCTGTCAACAGCAACTTGACGCAAAATGATGCAGCTTGCGCGGGAGACAATGCGCACAAAGGGGGCATTCACGCACGTGGTTTGGATCAAACTTCTCGCCGACGGGGTTCAGCAAGTGCAACTGGTGGCGCTCGAAGATGTTGTGCAGCAGCTTGTTCGTCCTGGCAGAGGTTTGGTTCGTGTATGCGCAGGGGGGGGGGGGTTGAAAGTGACAGCGCAAGTGTTTGTCTGTAAGTGCGTGCGCGTGCGCGTGCGCGTGCGCGTGCGAGACGGGGTGCCGGGTGTGGTATGGTACGCATGTAACGCAGCGATAGGCGCAGAAAACCACAAGACACCCAGCAAGAAAACAGGCACCCGAGCACCACACGCACGCACGACATGTACAAATACATTAACACACACACATACAGGCAGACAGAGACACAGAAGAACACACACACACACACACACACACACACAAACACCCATCCACCCACAAACACAGACACACAGACACACAGACACACACACACACACACAAACACCCACCCACACAGACACACACACACACACACACGTACGTCTGAAGGCCGTCGTTCAGGTCTCTGAGCGCCTGAGCGTCACCGTGCTCCTTGGCATCCTGGGGCACGTTGTCAAGGGCAAGCTGGATCCACAACAACGCACGGTGCGCACATGTGAGCTGGCGCCTTGCCATGTTGGAAGTTGTATTGCAGCGGTGCAGGCAGCTATGCTCGAGGCCGCACAAACGCAACCAACTGCGGAACTCACGCACACACAGTTGCGCACGTGCCCACACATCATGCACACACCCACACCCACACACGTACACAAAACGAGTGTGAACGCATCACCTGGAGAACATCTGCAATCTCAAGCATGTCCTTTGCAAACTTCTGGATGCCGTAGTGTTTGGCGTCCTCGACTTGGTGGCGTGCACGCTCCCGCACATTCTCCATCTCCGCAAGCGCACGCAGGTACTTCTCCTGTTCAAACAAAGAAACAAAACACCAGCAACATTGTAGCATAAACACACACACAGACACACGCACACACACACACACAAATGTACACAGCTGTGAGTGCACGACCATGGCATCACGCACAGGAGCAAACCAGTGGGGCGACAACTCTGCGGCGATAGCAGGAAATGTTTGTCGACCACATAGCCAGCAGTAGGAACACAGTGCACCAGAATGCGGATGCATGCACCTTGAGGTCCTTTGCTTCTTCCTGGGCAGTTTTCAGCTGCTGCTCGAGTTCTGTAACGTGCGGGTCAGCTTCACTCGCGGCGTCCTGAGCCGAAGCGCCCTCCTGGCCTTGTGCTTGCTGCTGTTGTTCTTGTGCTTGGGTTGTTTCGGACTTGTTGTCATCTGCCTTGCTCTCCTCTTCAGTGTAGTCGTGGTAGTGATGATGGTAGTGGTATGGCCATGAGCAGAGCGAAACAAAAGCAAGACATGTGTGCGTGTGCGTGCATTCGCAACAAATGTGACAGCGGGGATGTGCAAAATCGGGTCCACACGAGCGAGGAAGCTGCAACAACGACGCGCCAGATACAAACTCATTTGATGTGATCACACACACACACACAATCACACACAGTCACACACAATCACAAGCACACACCATAACACACACACACACACAATCACACACACACCTTGCTTGTCATTGCTGCCCATGAAGGACTTGAAGGAAATGAACCGTGCAAATCCCGAGCCCGCCGGCCTCTGGTGAACGAGGTGTGGCTGCGCAAAGGCGGCTCGAGGGGCAACAAGGCCACCCGCGCGTGGAAGTACACGCAGGGTGCTGGTGCACATGCGCATCACTTGACTACTCATGTCGACAGTGTGACTAAGGTTTGGTGTATGAACGTGTTGCGGGCGTTGCTTGGCTTGACTTGGCTTGGCTTGGTTTGCTTGCTGGCTGGCAGCGGTCTTGAGCTACTGTGAAGTACGTGTGCTGCACTGCATGAGAGAAGAGGACAGACACAGACACAAGCACACACAGACACACAGGCACACAGAAAGACACGAAGACACACCCACACACAGACACACACACACAGACACAGACACACACAGACACAGACACACAAACACACACACACGCACACACACACACACACACACACACACACACACACACGCACACAGACACAGGCACACAGACACACACAGACACAGCGTTTTGGTGTGGAGTCAGCATTTGCACATCGTATAGAACTCAGTCATAGCAAGGAAAACTAGTCGTACTCACGCTACCTCTGTCCATATGAGTTCCTGACGGCCTGCTCACCATCAAAAAGACGTGAGAGTAGTATAACTTGTAGATAGTGTAGCCCCGTTTTGGTCAATTTTGACGTCGTTCGATGCCGTCATAGTGAATAGCAAATACAAGCAGCTCACTAGACCGGTCCAGCATGTTGGTCATGACCATCGCCACAGAATCAAGCCGTGTGCGCCGAGGTCGGCAACTGCCGTGTACATGTCATGGCTCCTTTTTTTTTGGGGGGTGGTTGACACATGGGTGTGACGATGTGCGGTGGGGTGACACGTTCCGTACGATGTTTGCTGTGACTGTCCCCCAGCACTCACGCGGTTACCGTTTGTATGCTGCAGGGGTTTTGGATGACGACGACGACAACGTGTCCTTTGATGGCGACGATGATGCAGGGATTCCCTTTGACTCATCATGCCTGACCACCTCAGAGGGCATTTCTTTCAGCCTGCAGTGCATCCCACCCCTCATCAAGGCGCTCCAGCCCTTGATCGATGACCGTACGTTTTTGGGTTTCAGCACGACTTGATGTGACTTGATGTGACTTGATGTGACTTGATGTGACTTGATGTGACTTGATGTGACTTGATGTGACTTGATGTGACTTGATGTGACTTGATGTGACTTGATGTGACTTGATGTGACTTGATGTGACTTGATGTGACTTGATGTGACTTGATGTGGCTTTCTTTTCAACTCTTCCACGCCAGCACACGGCACGCTGTGTCCAACGGTTCTCTCTCCTGTTTTCCCCCGGGCACGCGAACACAGACACACACACGGACACACAAACTCATGCTCACTCTCTCACCTGTACATATCTGCGCTCGCTCTTCCTCGATGATGCTTTCATTATTTGTTTGTCTCATTTCGAAATTCGTTGCAGTGCAAGGCCAAGTGTCATCTGACTGCCTGACGGATCCAATCGCATGTACCTCCGACAACTTTGACGAGCTCGAGGACACCCTGAAGAAGTTCTCAGACGTGCGTAGACTGCCTTTGCACGCGTGTGTATGCAATTGCGCGTGTGCGTGTGTGTATGCGCGCGTGTGCGCTTGGATGTATGTATGTGTATATGTTTGTTTTTGTGCGCGAGTGTGCTACCCACGGCTGAATGTGCCTCGCATCCCCAATGCCGACATCGTTAACGTCGCTGATATCCTCCCTCACTCCTGCTGTTGCATCAGGTTGCCAAGTCTGCTGTGACAACATTGTGCAAGAAGACGAATTCGGGCGCACCCTCCTGCTGGAGCCAGCTCCTCAACCTGATTCCAACCTGTATTAACTTTGAAGATGTGGACGTACGTTCTTGTCATTGTGGCGTGTGTTTGTACACATGTGCGTGTGGGTGGACGCGTGTGGGCGAACACGTGTGCGCGTGTGCGTGGTGTGGATTGAGTTCGTCGTGAAGCGTACCTTCAACATTCAAGTTTCCAGTCTCCTCTCTCACTCCTCACATTCACTCACATTCTGACTCACCACCACCCACTCACGAACACCCACACCATGTCCCCCGCGTTCGTCACGCCACCGATTCCCCGCGCAACAGGAGGTGCCCCATCTCGACATGTACGTCGACCAGTTTCTGGGCGCTGCCGAGTTGTTCTGCACCACCGACAATGATGGTGACTCGTGCGGTGTTAAACTTCTCGACTTTGCTCTTGTTGAGAACGAGCTCGTCTCCTTTGACGGCACGACCAGTTTCTGCAACACGGTCAGGGGGACGCAAGCAGTGCGAGGGACGGTGACAAGGAAAAAAAAAACAAGGGGGGGGGGAGAGGGTAGTTGTAGTGGCTCGCCTTTGTGTGTATGTGTGTATGTGTGTATGTGTGTGTGTATGTGTGTGCGTGTTTATGCGAGCGGCGGTGGCTTCGTTAGCAGTCCCCCATCTCACCACCACTATCACCACCACCAACACTGCTTCCTTCATCACCACGCCCCCCTCCCGCAGGCGACGGGCGCTGCGGCCACGTGCGACGACGCGTGCCACGCGCTGCTGTCTGGCATTGACGACAACCTCGGCTGCTGCTATGCCGAGGTCGTGCGCGCCCTCGACCAGATCAACGACAACCTGGTCGACCCAGACATGGTGCGGGCTTGGTGCTGGTTTGTCTCTTTGGTGGTGGTTTGTAGTCTGGTGGATGTTGTGTGGTATGTGTCGTGTTTTCCTGTTGGTGGAGCGAGTGCGTCACTGGAGAGGGCCAGAGGAGGGGCGGCGGCGCTGCGTGCTTGCTACAGGCACACGTTTTCCGCATGTGTGCGCATGTGTGTGTGTATGTGCGTGCGTATGTGTGCGTGTGTACATGGGCAACGACAAGCGTTCTCTGTGAACGTGCCTCACCTCGTTCTCTCCTTCTCCTCGCACGTTACCATCGCCCCTGCCTGCGCGGTGCAGCTGCTCGAACTGAGCGGGTACTGGTCTGTGTGCGGCATCGATGCGCCCACTCGCGACTGCAGCGGCAAGAAGGTGCCGGCTGTCACCCGCGGCTCAAGCGGACACAGCAGCAGTGGCAGTAGCGGCAACGGCAGTGGTGATGATGGCGGTGTCATTGGCAATAGTGAGTTGTTTGCGTGCGCATCTGTTGTGTTCTCTGGCGTCACGCGCGCCATGTGCTGCTGTGCTGTGTTGCTGTGCTGGGTGTAGTTGGCACTGCCACGTTTAAACTTGCGGCCCCCAGACACTTCTGCCTGACTTGCCCTTGCATTCACAGGCACTTTCAGCACACTCGCACTTTCACGCTTGCTCACACTCCTCTGACCTGATATTCTCACTCTGATCCCATCCTCTCGTCTCCGGCCAACCACTACCACCACCATGATCACCACCCGCAGTGTCGCTCACCACGCTCCTCGGCATCATTGGCGGGTGTGTGGCCGGTCTGATTGTCATCATCGCCTCCGTTGTCGTCGTCGTTCGACGCTCCCGCCGCCAGACAAGCACCACCATGTACATGCGCGTGCACACGCAGGTCGACTCTGACTGGGACGACCAGTGATGCTGCCAGCACGCGACCGCGTGTCGTGTGTCGTGTGATTCCTGAATGCTCATCTCAGCCATGTGCATTTTGCTTCAAGCGTGAGGGTGTGCATTCGTGCGCCGCGAACAGCCACTGCAAATACATCAACTGCTTGCCCCATGTTCTCGTTATCGTGTGTCCTGTCTTTCTGGCGTTGCATGAATTAACTTGCGTTCTTCCTAAGCTGCCCCTACCTCCCATCCATTCTCCCTTTCAACACCAGTTAATACAAATCCCGCAACCACAATACAATGTCAACACGCGTACAATGTCAACACGCGTGTGAGTGAGTGAGTGAGTGAGTGTGTGTGTGTGTGTGAGTGTGCATGCAAGTGTGTGTGTGTGTGAACGTCAAGCGCTGTTTTGTTTGGGGTTTTGCATTGTGATTCACCGTCAACATTGATTGAAATCTTGACCGAGACAGCAACAACCGCATCGCAAGACAAGACACACCACACGAAATGATCATCAGCAGTGAAGCGGGTTCAGGTAAGAGCGAGGAGAAGGAGTGGCGGGGGGGGGAAGGGAACGAAACAAGCAATGAAAGCGCATCTGGTACCCACCGATACGCTCGGGCGAAAGGCAACTCAAAAGGAGGGCCGTGACGAAAGAAGACACGAGACAAGTAGGACAAATGATGTCATGTGAAAAGAAAGGGAAGAAACAGTTGATTGTGTGGAAACAAGCCTGTGAAATGACGTTTCACAAACAAACGCATGGAGAAGATAACATCAGGCAAGGCCAGCACCCACAGCCGCCATAACAATGGCAGCAACTTTGATTGAAGGAGAAAAAGACTTGAAAGTGGAAGAATGGGCGAGCACATGGATACACGCACACGTGCACACGGAACAAAGAGGGGCGGGGGACGGGGAGCACACAACGGCCATGTTGTTGTCAGATACCGTGACAGTGGACCGGCCACCATCGACCACCACCACCACCACCGAGATCGCTTCATCGATCGACCTCAACTTGACAAAACACCAACACGACACCTCAGCGACAGCTCTTGCTGCCTTCATCCATCCGCACGTGCGCGTCCCCTCACTGCCACTCCTCAGCGTTTGCGGCTGACCCAGGCGCCCTTGAGCCGCGTGCCGATGCGAACGTACGCGCGCTCACGGCGGCGGCGGCGGCGTTGCTGCTGTGGGCTGTTGGGCGGCGGCACTGCCCCGTTCTCAGCACCATTGCCAGGGCCGCCATTGGCGAGCGGGTTGTCAAACATGTGCTGCTCGCCATCGCCATCGTTGCCGTTGTTGTCGCTGTCTGGCGGGATGAGGGCCACACCATCAGCCATCATGGGCGCGGGGTTGGCGCCACCGCGGTTACGGCGGGCCAGAGACGCGTGGCGAACAAGCTCGGGCAGCCGGCGTACGGGCACGTGGCGGCCAAGCGACACCAGCGGGGCCAGCACCCGCAGCACAGCCGCAACAAACCTGTCGTTGCGCAGGCGAATGGCGTCATCGTGGTGGTTGCCGTCAACGGCGCCGTGCTCGTGGTGCCCGCCACCAGGGCCCCGCTGCTGCTGCTGTTGCTGCTGCTGCTGCTGGTTGTTGTGGTCATCATTGTCACCCGGGAAGACAAACACGTGCTCGTGTGCTTGCGGCAGAGGCGAGCCAGGTGTAAAGCGCCCGCTCCCAACGCCCAGCGCGGACGAGGTGTTCATATGCTGGAGATGGAGGGAGGCGGCGTTGCGGCGGAGAGCACGCGCTGGCTGCTGATCAACGGCTCCCACGGTGCCGCTTACCCCGACAATCTCAATGTCCCGCACAGGGTACGGGGTGGTGGCTGTCGTGTTGGTGGTCATCGTAGCGTTGGTGGTCATCGTAGCGTTGGTGGTGCTGGTGGTGGCTGGGGTGGGGCGGGGCGTGATGGTCGAGGTGGAGGTGGGTGGGGTGTCAATGACGGGAGACAGGACAGGCGTGGCGATGGCGTCCATGGCCGAAAGGGAATCGACGGCGGTAGGGCTTGAGGCCGCATCATCAGCAGTGGTGGTGGTGGTGGAGGCAGTGCCAGCGACCGCAGGGCTGGGATTGGCGACACGACTTGTTTGAGTGGCAGCATCACTGGCAGTGGTGATGGTCGAGAGAGCGACACCACTGGCGGCAAGCGACGTGGTCGTAGCAGCGCCATCCGCAGAGGCATCAGGAGCACCATTGTGCTCACCAGCAGTGGTGGCTCCAAGGGCTATCGTGCCGTGCATGCATGCATCCACCTGCGAGCCTTGCTGCACCTGCACAGCAATGGCGAAATCGTCGCCCCCGTCGTCGTCGTCGTCACTGGCCAAGTCGGAGAGCTGCGCGAGTGCCGTTGGGGATGCAGATTCGCTGCGGGACGCGACAGAGGAGGACGACACCCGCCGCTGCTCGAGGTCCCGCTGCACCGCCCCCGTGGCTGTTGTGCTGGCGCCGAGCAGGGCAGGGACGGAGTGGGTTGCTGGCATGCGCGGGCGCCCGTCTCCGCCTTGGCCAGCAGGTTCGTCCTCAAACGAGAACTGTGCCGAAGCTGCCGTGCATGCGTACATGTGTGAATGTGCGTGAGTGTGTGAATGTGTGAGTGTGTGAGTGTGCGAGTTCATGCGCATGTACATGCGTGCGTATGTGAGGTTGGGTTGCATGCGTGCATGTATGCAAACCGAGGTGAGGGAAACTCGTGAATGCAGGCAGATGAAGACGGAGCAAGGCTGTGGCAGCGTGCATGAGAGCAAAGGCAGGGCCGAGTGGCCGTAGCAGCACCACCTTGCGTGGGCAGGGAGGCGCGGCTGCGGGTGGGCCTTGGTGGCGGCGGGTTGGCCGGGCGGCGGCCGTTGCCTTGCGTGCTTGCATGCACGTCGGCAGGGGTGCTTGGCTTGGCTTCCACTCGGGGGCTGGATGGCTCAGCGGGGCCCACGCTCGGTGACACGTTCACATCTGCAGCAGGCGACAGCGCACAGGTGACAGGCAGGCGAGAAGCGAACGAGTGAGGAGTGAGAGGGGACAGGGCGAGCAACACAGGTGGGCTGTGTTGTGCGGTGATGCAAAGAAACCGTGAACTGTGGACATGGATGGATGGGTATGAGGGTGGTGATGGTGATGTTTGCAAGGAAGGTTGCTTGCTTGCAAGCACGCACACCAAGAAAGGCACACAACCTTCGTTGGTGCGAGACATGCTTGGTGGTGCTGAAGGGAGAAAAGGAGGAGGCGGAGAAGGGACAAGGGAAGGGAAGGGGGGCAGCGGGTCGTGCGATGGGATCTGGGCACAGCAGGTGATGGTGGCAGGGCACGGGAGCGACAGTGTGCTTGGCAGACTTGACACGTTGTGTGCGCGAGAGAGAGGGAAGTGTGGAAAATGAATCAGTGGCTGGCTCAACGTTCGACAGCAAGAAAGAAAAGAAAGTCCGCTCAAGCAATAACGGCTTTGACAACACACGCACACAAAGACAAAAGCGCGCCCAGTGCAGACACAGAGCACGGCTGCAAGAAATGTGGCAATGATGTCACCACCAAGCACCAACCACAGCCAACCCGGACCAACAGCGGCCGCACCCGAAGCTACACGTCGGACAAAACGCTTGGGAGAAGAAGGAACAGAACAAAAGCTCAAATGTGTGTGTGTGTGTGTGTGTGTGTGTGTGTGTGTGTGTGGTGGGGTTGCAAGCAGGAGTAACAGCAGCTTGAAAGCAAATCCCCAGGCCACGCATTGGTTGGCTGCGTTGTGTGTGTGTGTGTGTGTGTGTGTGTGTGTGTGTGTGTGTGTGTGTGTGTGTGTGTGTGTGTGTGCGGTTGGTTGGTTGGCTGTCAACAGGCCACAACCACCTGCATGGGTTGGAAACAATAACAAAAGAAAAAGCAGCCACAATGACCCAATGGAACCAGCCACAAGGCCCCCCCCCCGTGTTGATAGCACGCCATACAACGGCCGCAACCACTCCCCCAAGCAACAGAAGGAGAAGCAATGGTGGAGGCAGCGGGTGGGGAAAGAACGGAAGGCGAAAGGGAAGCGGTGGGAGGGGAGAGCTGAGAAAAAGTGGGCGCCAAGAGGAAAGAGGAAAGAGGAAAGAGGAAAGAGAAGAGAGGAACGAGGAAAGAGGAAAGAGGAAAGAAAGGAGCACACCAGCCCCAAGCACACACACGTGCACACAATTGAAATGCGCACCAAAGCCAGGGAGTGGAGGGGGTTGGCGAGGGAAGGGGAAGGGAAGGGTGACACGTCAGGACATGGTTGCACCCCAAGCGCAGAGCCATGTGCTATGGACGCGGGTGCGGCATATCGATCGCCCAGCTGAGGGACAGCACAGCAACTGCGGGACGGGGGAGGGGTCGGAAAGGTAGAT